TCCATCAGTGGGGGAAAAACCTCCATCTCCATAGCATCGCAGAAGGTTTTCAGAGCTTCGGCAGCTTTTTTACCGTACTCCTCAACCTCCTGCTGCTTCTCTTCAGCTGCTGCTTGCTTCAGCTTAGCAAGCTTAACTTCCTCTTCAGCCACCTTCCTTTCGTGCACAGCAGCGTCTACCCTATCTTGTAGGGTATCAATCAGCTCTACAGTGAGAGTCTGATTGTGCACGAACTGAAAACAGGAAGACAAAAAAAAATAAGTAATAAGAAAAAAAATAGAGCTGAATTTCGGAGGAAATGAAGGAAAATTACCTGCATCATCAGCAGTTGGTTAGACCTGGCTGGGTCAGGAACTGATCTACTGGATTCGCCCATCCCAGCAGTGGCCTTCAGCGACCAGATCCTTGCCCTGTCTACTTCGGACATGCCAGCAAAATTGCCGAAGTAGGCTGCAGCTCCTTCTCGGTTTTGACCCCATATGAGGTCCCAGATGTGATCTGGGATTGGAATTCGGGGGGCCGAGAAACCCATTTCTCCAGAATGCAGAGTCTGGAAAGAAGGGAAGGACGACGATGGAGCTTGATTAGCTTTGGTTGTCTCAGCATCGTCCTTCTCAGAGGAGTCAAGTACTATGACCTCCTCTTCTTCAGGGGTGAGGACGAAAGCCTCAACCTCTCTTGCGATATCTGCCGTGAAGCCTTCAGCACTTGACATCACGGCATCTTTATTTCCGTGCTCAGCAGCACTCTCCTTGATTTCTTCTTGGACCCCTCCCTTAGGTTCGGGAGTCCTCTGATCCACCTCCATCTCAGGAGGTGGCGGAGGGGTCTTTTGAGGAGATTGGGGTGTTGGCTGGGGAACCCTCGGCGATCCATTGCCTTCCTCAGGTTCCCTTATTGCGACGCCGATGGTCATCGGCCTCTGCTGAAAGTCATGAGGGCCGATGATGGCCATCCTTCGGCGCCTTTTCAGAAGAGGCTGCTCGTCCATATCTGAGTCTGAAGACTCTTGTATTTGATCTTCGGGACGAACAGGAGCTTTGCCTTCTCTGTGTCTGTTACTCTCTTCAGACTGTAACAGACAGGGGGGAAGAAGAGTGTGAGTAAAAAAAAAAAAAAAAAAAAAAAAAGAAGAAGAAGAAAAGAAAAAAGTTGTCTGAAAGCTCACCGAGGTCTTCAGCAAAGCCTCGTCTTCTTCAGCTGCTCTAGCTGCAGCTTCGGCTTCAGCAGCTCTGGAGGACCCTTCTCCTCCTTCACAAGCCTCAAGTACCCGTGCAACCTCTTCGGCTGTGCGGGCAGCTTCAGCTTCTTCGTTCAGCAGCTGAAACCAAGGGTCTCTCTTCTTCCACCAAGGCTTCTGCCTCTGATACAGAGCGACAGCCTCAATTTGGAAGTGGGAAGAGTCCAGATGAACTTCCCTATGCCTCGGCTCAGTGATAGACGGGGCCCGTTCAGTTACAACTCGCTCTCGGTTAACACCAAGACGAGCGTAGTTAATACCAACGTTGGTCTCGTCTCGCTCTGAAAAAAGGAAAGGGAAAAAGTTTAGCTCAGATATGTTGGCACAGCATAAAAAAGCAAAGCGAGAGAAGAAAAAGAGGTAGTTAAAAAGCCTCGGCCCCAGCCGAAGAAGCTTACCATCCTTAAACTTTCGGCTGAGGCCAACAGCTGCTAGCATATTCTCTTGGAAAACGTAATGCGTATCGGGGAGCCAAGTCTCCGGGATATGCTGCATTCGACCACTCCCCCCGGGTTCGGCAGCTTGCCGAAGATATGTTGCTGATCCAGGTTCGGATCCGCCCCGTTATCTGCGGGGGGACCTAGACTTCCCATTTCGGGATCAGGCTCAGCTAAGTACCGGGGAGCGCTGAAGACACAAGGGTGGCCCGGATCTATGGGTGCCCTAACCCAAATCCATTGACCTCTCCAGTCCTTGTCTGAAGAGTCATTTGGCCACATGGTCAAATATTGGGGCCGGGACTCAATCCGATACCACCCAGAACCATGGCTTCCGTGCCCACTCTGAATATTTGGCACTAGCCGATGGAGCTTTCTGAAGCAGTGCAGGTTCGGCACGTATCTGAAGAACTTGCAGACCCATAAGTATGTCATCACCCTTCGGATGCTGGTGGGGGTTAGCTGACATAGGGAAATGTTGTAATGGATCAGCAAGTCTCGGACGAAAACGTCCAAAGGGAACCTCAGCCCATACTGAAGCTGTCTCGTGTACACCCCCACATACCCCGGGGGTGGACGATGGATTCTATCGGATGCTGAGGGCATTCGGCACCAATATCCATCAGCTTCAAAAATGCCGTAGTGCAACTCAATTTGCTCGGCAAATCGATATTGATCGGCGTTCTCTACCCACCATGAGTAGGGGCGGTTCTTTATCATGGCCGAAGCGACTTCGGCATTCTCCCACTCTGAAAACCCAGGGAGGATATCCCAAAGGACAGCGGGAATTTCATCGTCCCGTCCAGAAGCACTCGGCTCATCCGTTCTTTGAGGAGGAGCCGAGGAAAGGGGAGTCGCCCTAATCCCATCAGCAGGGTCAGACTCCGGCCTTCGACCATTCCAGGTCCCAATCCTATTCCTAGGATCGGGAATCGGCCTTGCTCTTCTTGGAGCACGGGCTCTACCTCTAACTCCTCTTGCCATGGACTATTTCGAAGAGAAAAGTCGAAAGAAGAGGGGAAGGAGTTCGAATTCGAAGAAAAATAAACTGAAATCAAAGGAATTTACCTAATCTGAAGCGAAAGTTGCCGATTTACGAGTTCGTAGTGGCAAGTCTCAGCTTCTAAGCTCAATGCTCGGGGGAATTTGCGAAGTTTTGATACGGATTCTTGGATTCTCTCTCGAAGAATTCTGGGTTTGTGTTGGTGAATCAGTGAGGAGAATGACGCGCCTCTGTTTATATCTCCAGGTACGGGATACGAAGAGTCTGTGCTTTAATTTCTCTTAAGTACCCACTAAGTAACCATTAAACACATGTCTTGTGATTAAACCGCCCATTATCCGTCCAACTTCCGCAAATCATTAACCGTTGTTATCTCATTAATTACGGTTTAAATTCAAATTTTTGGATCAATTAAATCATTTACTTCCCTCCTTTTCTGAGTTAAATCAAACCCGACCCGTCATTCTTCCGAATCGGGTCTGGGGGGCAAGTTGTTTGGGTCCAATTTAGTCAAAATTGGGCCTGAGCACTAAATGATCCAATTAAAAGCCCAAGGTCAAGGTTCAACTCTCCAATTGCTCAAAAGTCAAAAGTCAGCCCACAAAGTAAGCCAATTGGGCTAAAGCCCAACCTCTCCAAATATGATGAGGTATAAAAGCCCTCATATTAACACATTCAAGGAGAGAGTCATATTCTTACATAAGACATCTCATAACATCACATACGAGACACAACAACACATGCATCATCACATACATTATCTCATACACGGATTATTCCAACTCATATGCTCATTCTTGCATTGAGAAATACTCCACAAAAGCCTCAAGCTACAAACTCTCTTGCATAGTGTCTTCCTTTTTACACATTGTACTGACTTTAGCATCGGAGGGGCCTTCCTCGGAAACACCCCCGAGGCTAGTTTACGTGTGTTCACTGTGCAGGAAACCTTCGGCCCAACACAGCTTGGATCGAATCCAGTCTTCTCCATTTTAGTGGACCTTCGGCAAGGTCCCATTGTTTTCAACCGAAACAATATGTATTCGATCCACACTTTAATTTGAATCGAATTGGGCCGGGTTAACCTATTAAACTATTCCAAATGATTTTTAGGCTTCATTCAATAATCTACTTCATCTTTAAGCGTTTAAAAAACGTTTACAGACTATATCTTAAGTACATATAGTAGCTAATTAGAGCTAATCAGCATATCCAATCTATATCTAGTGTAAAACACATTTTTCTTTTTTTTATTTCTTCTTTTTTTAATTGCACCATTTTTTTTTTGTATACCATTATTTTTCTTTTTTTAAAGACTGATACAACAATTATTACCCTACTGGCCTACCTTTTTTTTTTTTTTTTTTTTAAAATGGTTACTTTTGACATACTCCATTATTTCCCTTAAATTCTATGCCCAAACCACCAAGTGATACATTTAAAAAAATGGAGAAAGTATCATTTTTATGTGCATTTTGTTTAAGGTAATTTAAACGTACTCGCATTCAGTGTCAAAAAGCAAAACAAAATTATACTCACATTTGATATAGCTTCAAGATTCTCTTTGCATTGTATATTACCTTCAGCAGCAATTGGCCGATAATCGCCAAGGCAACTTAATTTGGCCGACTAACAGTTGTAATATAAATGATGCATTAGTGAAATGATTAAATAATACAAAGAACACAACAATATTAAAAGAGAATTACATTAATAATGCCTCAATAAAAGAGATTTTTAATGTAATATATTTTTTTAAATAGAGAAAACAATAATTTGAAATTCTTAAGTAATCCAATTTGATTTGTGAACAAGGGTAGATGGCAACATTAGTGTTACTAGGCCTAAATTTTACAAAGTTTAATTGTGATTAAATAATCCTTACTACACTAGAGCAAGTATGGAGTAGTACTCGACAAATTCCTGTAAAGCTTGCCTTGTAATTTCTCCATTCTTTTACTTACAACATTTTTTATTTCACGCTTGTCAATCTATTTTTTTTAATCACAATTATATTTAATTGTTAAAAACTAAAATTGTAAAAAAAGTAATATATATATATATATATATAGAGAGAAGTATGAACAAGACGGATAATATAACTAGCAATGCAAGACCTACCATACCCTTCTTGAATAAATCATCAAATTTAGTCAAAATAAAGCACGTAATTACTAATTAGAGTAGTTATTTGTAAGTAAATTTATTTTTATTCAAAAAAATAAATAAATCATTGCATTGTACAAATGGCAACCTAAAAATTTGTTTCAATTAGTGACACAGATATGCTCATAATTAAGCTCTAATTAGGAATACTAACCTCAAAAAGCTCATCTGACAGTAAAGATATACGGTGAGCGTATTCGATTGCATGCTTTGATGGGAAATTATCCGTCAAAGGATTACCAATAAGATATGGATTACCAATAATATATCCCTGGATTCAAATGTTATGAAAGGAGATATCATTACAAATTTACATACAACTGAGAAATTCAAAATTGCCTAATGCACTACTTAGGGCCTGTTCATATTTACTGAACTGAACTGATTGGAGCTGAACTGAACTGAACTAAGCTGAAATGAATATTTTATGAGAGAGGGAAATTAAGAGCTGAAATGAACTGAACTGAACTGAACTGATTGAAGCTGAACTGAACTGAACTGAACTGATTGGAGCTGAACTGAACTGAACATAAGTAAATATGAACAGGCCCTTAATTTCTTCCTAATAGCCTTTTGAAATAATATATGTAAATGTCCCATATTGATAAAAGAAAAAACTTATAATGATTAATTATTAATTAGTATGTAATGGGTATGTTAAAAGTTAGAGGAAGACTGGGTTTGTAGCATTGATAAACTTGAGATGTTTGTCAAATGTCATTTTTATATAAAAAAAAATTCAAAATACAATCGATAAAAGTACCTATTTTACGGGTTACAACCATCAATGTTTATTTTTGCAAATTACAACAAAAAGTCGCCCAACATTATAACTACTATTTGATTTCAAAACCTTAAACAATAATACATACCTTTTAACTTTTTCCTTGGATTGCATGCATTTGAGTATTGAAACAATTAAGGAGAATGTATTTTCAAACCCTAAGTTTAAGGTCTTGTTTGGCACCATTTTTGGTTTTCTGTTTCTTGTTTTTTTTTTTTAAAAAACTAAAAACCAAAAACAGAAAACAAGAAAAAAGTGTGTTTTCACTTTTCTGTTGTCAGTTTTCAAAATTATTATGATTTTAATAAGTTTAAATAATTTTTTATTCATTATGTAACATGTATCATATACTTTTAATAAACAAAAAACCAAAAAACAAAAAAGCATAGCAATGCCAAACGAGCCCTTAGTTTTCACTTTTTCGCTTTTAGGTATTTGCCCAAATTTGTGATAGATTAATGAATAAAGAATGGTAAATCCTGAGAAGATGGAAAAATAAGTTGGAAAAGAAAGGAGTGGGGCCTAATGCAACGTTATGCAGGGCCGTAGAAAGGGGAGGGCAGCTGGGGCGGCTGTCCTGGGCCCCTTGTTAAAAAGCCTAGTTTCAATACAATACAAGCCCCCAAATAAATATACTTCATACTAAATAATATTACGTAGATATACATTTAACAAAAAAAAAAAAAGGCAAGAAGTGTATACTGTACAACACTACAATAGTAGTTTAGAATTCCAAAATATCATATGGGATTTTTGGTAAACGTATTTCTTCCCTAATTTTTTGCCCAAATTATTCACTTTCCCAAGAGAATTTGATTAACAAAAAAAAAATCATTAATTTTAATTGTATCCCCATTTTTGGTAATTTTATTTTTCAAAATGTATCTCATTACAATTTTCATTTAGTTAAATTCCTTCTCTGTTGCGATTCAATTGATGTAGATGAAAACTATAATCAACGGTCATTTTACTCTTAAATTTTCAACGGGATTTATCTAATTATATATAATTCTCTTTGCATACCCTACTTTTTTTTTTTTTTGGAACGGTGCATACACGAATTTATTCATCAAGATCTCTTCTTTGTATTAAATTATATTTTTCTTTGTATTAAGAAAATCTAATGGTTTGGTTGGATATATACTTGGTTTGAATGGTTCGGCTGGTGTAATTACTTCAACGAGAGTTACGGAAATATAATTTCAATGTTTTAAGGAATATGATGTTTTTTAAGATTATTGATCGTAATAAAATATTTTTGCATACCCAATTTTTTTTAAATTTTATATAGTATATGTGAATTAGGGCCCTGATTTATGTTTTTGCCCCAGGCCACTGAAATCTCATAAACGGGCCTGACGTTATGAAAAAGACTTTGGGCAAAATAAAAAAGTGTAAATTTTAATTAAGTAAACAGTTGGTAGTAAAATAAAATAAAAAATTTGTGGGTGGTATGTAATTACTAAAACATGAATATAGTTGGTGGTAATAATAAAAAAATTCCAAAAATTATACGAAGTAATAACAAACCTGAAGATTCATTCTTGCACCAGATCCTGCTTCATTTCCTATAGAACAAGAAACTCATATATTAAATAAATTGATATCAATACAAAAACCTATAATCATATTACATAATTTCCCATAAAAAAAATACATAATTTAAATAAAAACTGTACATGATTCAGTACGAGCAACTGAAAGGGGACACAATCTATCAAATATTAAAAACATTATTTAGTATAGTTGTTCCTTTCACCTTACTTAATTATGTTGAACAATGTTTTTTTTTTTTTTTTTGCTAAACTTAATTTACTGAATTCTCTATTGTATTTGTTCTTTAAATTACTAATGGTTATTGATTACAACAAATATTTATTAAAATAACTTAATTTTGTTGTATTTAAATTACTTAATTTGATAGTTTTTCTATATTTTTTTTTCTCTTTAAATTACTATTTTTTATTAATGAACTTAACGCCGGAAATTAGGACTTGATTGGTTGGTGATATACAACGTTGACGAACTGAAATTACTTTTAATAAATATTATTTGAATAAGGTAAAGGGACCATGAGTACCAAAATTACTAAGTATATATTAACAATAGAAAAAATTGAAACAATTAAATTCATTAAAGCCTTACGGTAATTAAATTAAAAAAGGAAAAATTGGATTCAATAATCCTAACTTTGCCCAATTTTTTTGAAATAATTCCAATTTTGGATAATTTTGAAATGATCCAACTTTGGGGTCCCATTTTTTTTTCCGTCCCAATGACGATAAATGTTGAGGGTTTTTTTAATTTTAAAAGCCGGTCGTCGTATATTAGTTACAATTTTTTTTTTAAAAAAATCAAAAATTATATCCAATTACTCATCACCCTCTCCCTTAAGCCACCTGTCGGCTACTTCCCTTCCTTTGCATCGGTGCCCTAGACCACACATATTCCCCTATGCTGGTTACCCCTTTCCTTGCGTCGTTGCCCAGTGGTGATGACCCACCCGTACCGCATTCCTTCCCCCACAACCCATCCTCCTCCTTCTCTGGTCCTCCCCCAACCTAACCCCTCGAAAATCCCTTGAAATCCCTCCCTTACCCACGAAAACCCCCAATTGCCCCTTCCCCACCCTCGAAAACCCTAGTTGTTAATATGATTTTCGAGGGTGGGGGGAGGGGCAATTGAGGGTTTTCGGGTGTAGGGGAGGGAATTTCTTGGGGGTTAGAAGGAATGGGAAGGGGTTTTGGGGAAGAGAGGATGGTGATTAAGAGGGAAGGGAGAGGGGCAGCGATTGGGTTAAAGGAGGAGGGCCAGGGGTTTTCTTTTTAAAATTTATTTTCAATTTTTTTTTGTAAAATTTGGACCAATCACAGCTTGACACGTGTCAAGTAACCTGATAATCATCGACTTCTATTGACTAGTATGAGATTGAATAAAGTAAACATTCCTACAAGTTAGGACTATTAAAAAAAATAAAAATAAAATAAAATTTGACAAATTTGAGATTATTAAAACCAATATTTTCAATAAAAAAATTGTTTAAGCTAAGCATTAAACACCAAATTTTCAACATGCAACCTACATAATTTCACCATTCTAAAACTAATGAATGATCTCACTTTGTTTTTTGGAGGAACAGTTATTATATAAATTATGTCCTTTGATTTCTAAGTTCTACCCACTTTTCGTTTTCATCGATCTTTTATCCTATGTTCAACTTAATAATTTTCCTTTTTTCCATTTATATATAGCAACTTTTTGTTCATTTTTTATCAACTACAACCCCACTTTATGAGGCCTAATTATATTATAAAACACGTACATACCTTCTATTTCCCATTTTTAAAACAAAGCAGTCACATTGTATGGTCTTTATATTACTTTTTCTTGGTTTCTATAGCTAAAGTTACAATATAGAACAATAAAAGATAGCAGGTATATTACTTGGATAATAAATTAATGCTCACATCACATGTATATATATAGGGCTAGCTAGTTAGTAAAAGATTCAAGTCACAACTAGATTATTTATTTTTAGTATTCAGGTTAGGTTCAAGTCGGGCCAACTTAGGCTTTCAGTCAAAGTTGGAACGAGGGTTAGGTGTTCAGGTCATTTACTCTAGCAAGTTGGGTTCGATCAAGTTCAAATTGTGTCTAATTCAAGTCCTATTGATTCGGGTTCGATGTAGGTTTATGACCCATAAATTCGGGTTTGGGTAGAGGCTATAAGAAATTGAGTTAGGCCAGACATAAGTATATGAATTTTGGAGCTCAAACTCACAAATATGGTCCGTGGTCTATAAACAATTTTAGTGACACCCAAACTCACATCTTTTTCAAACGGGACTATTGTTGATTAACTGGTCTCAATAATTGGGTTCAATAATTATTGGGAAATTTTAGATTTTAACACCACATAAAAACCCGAAAATGGTTTTTAACACCTCCAAAAAAAAAAAATTGATTTTAACACCATACAATAAAACTAACAAAAAATGGGTATTACCACCACTTAACGGATTCCGTCCAAAAATTCCGTTAAGTGGGGTCCTCAGTGACACGTGTCACCATTTTAGTTGTTTAAAATAAATAAAAAACCCTAAAACTACCCCAGCCACCCCAGCCCCACCACCGCCAACCACCGACCTACCCCCGCCCTCCCCGAAACCACCACCGGCCGTGACGCCTTCGCACCCCCAACCCAGCTAAAGCCTCCCCCTCCCTTTCCCGCAACCGCTTCGCCCCCAAAAACCACCTAACCCAAAACCCTCCTTCCTTAATACGGTCGCGATTCCGACCACAAATGGCCGAAATCGGCCGGTTTTGGGGCTGAGTTGCCTTAACCGGCCGATTGCGACCATTTCTGGCCGGAATCGTGACCGTATTAGGGAAGGAGGGTTTTGGGTTGGGTGGTTTTTGGGGGCGAAGCGGTTGCAGGAATGGGAGGGGGAGGCTTCAGCTGGGTTGGGTGAGCGAAGGCGTCGCTGGTGGTGGTTTTTGGGAGGGCAGGGGTGGGTCGGTGGTTAGGCGGTGGTGGTGCGGTGGCGGGGCTGGGGTGGCTCGGTAGTTTTAGGTCTTTTTAATTTTTTTTTTATTTTTTTGGCCAATAAGAAAGCGACACGTGGTACTTAACTGATTCCGTTTAGGAATCCGTAAAGTGGTGGTAATAGCCATTTTTTGTTAGTTTGTGTGGTGTTAAAATCAATTTTTTTTTTGGAGGTGTTAAAAACCATTTTCGGGTTTTTATGTGGTGTTAAAATCTAAAATAACCTAATTATTGGGTTAGATAATGATCAAGGGTTTAGTCAAGTTTAACTTAACAAATTAGTCCTTAATCTTCAATCAAGAGTGATAAATATATACTACCTCAATTTCTTATTATATGCAACAAAAGAATCTTTTATGTCTCATAAATAATACCTCTTTGTTGCACATAATAAGAAATGGAAGTAGTAATTAAATATGCTTTTGAACCTATTTAATTGCGAACAAGAGGTATATGATATGAATAAAATATATAATAATTAAAACATTTTTACATTTTTATTATTGTAATAAAAATAAATCAAGATTAATTTATGTTTGACCTTGAATCAAATTGGGTACAAAAATAGATGGAGACATCAGGTTCCGTATTAATTTTCAAGATTTGTCAATAATGGTACTCTGTAGGTCGAGTTATCAAATATGAGAGGAGTAAGGCCCTGTTCTCTTCACCTTAATTTTGCTGAACTGAAATTATTTTTACTGAACTGAAATTATTTTTGCTGAATTTAAATTATTTTTACTGAACTTAAATTAATTTTACTGAGCTGAAATTATTTTTACTGATTTTCTATTATAATTCTTCTTTAAGAAAACTGAATTTTACTAAACTGAACTTATTTTTACTGAACTGAAATTATTTTTATTGAACTGAAATTAATTTTACTGAACTGAACTTATTTTTACTGAACTGAAATTATTTTTACTTAATATTTTTTTTAAGGTGAATAGAACAGGACCTAAGTTTGAGTGACGTTACATCTGGTTCCATATTAATTTTCAAGTTTTGTCAATAATGGTACTCTTTAGGTCAGGTAAATAACAAATTATGTTGGGATGTGTATAATTGATTTTGGTAACTAATTGGGTCGGGTGCTAGTTTGGGTTTAGACCATTGTCCATTGGTTTGTCGGGTTAAATCAATTGTCAGTTGATATCAAATTGGGTGCAAGTTTGAGTTTGGGTCATAGATAGAGTACTTGGTCAAAACCATTTTTTTTTTTTTTTTTTTTGGTAAATATCAAGTCAATTTAGGTCAAGTTATAGTTTACTAGGGCCTGTTCTCATTGACTGAACTCAGTTGAACTGAACTGAATTGAACTGAACTGAACTGAAATGAACTGAACTAAACTGAACTGGACTGAGCTGGACGGAACTGAACTGAACTGAACTGAACTGAGCTGAGCTAAGCTGAACTGAGCTGAGCTAAGCTGAACTGAACTGAATATTTTATAAGAGAAGGAAATTAGGAGATGAGCTGAACTGAACTGAACTGAACTGAATTTCAACGTAAGAGAACAAGCCCTAGTTTTACCACATTGTTTTGGTGCAAGTCAGGTTCAAGTTATTTATAGTACTTGTCGGTTTCTCAGATCGGGTCAGCTTATGACAACTTCAATTCAAAAATTATGTGAATAATGAAAAAGTCAAATTAAACTCCAACATCTATATTAATCTATCTATTAACTATTAATAAAACAAAACATGCTGACATCATTAAGAGACACATGTCAACTTTTTATGAAAAAAATTTTCGCCAAAATTATTTTTGACCTTATCATTTGTTTTTTCTCAATTTTTACTTCCTAAGTTTTTTTTTTTTGAAGAATTCTTCTTAAGTTCTAAGACCAGGGGCGGATCTATTAAAGTGCACAGTGAGTCACGTGACTCACCAGCACCAAAAAAAAAAAAAAAAAAAAAACTAAGAGATTGCCTAGTACAGATAGGCGGTCTCTTTGTTGCTTCTAATTGAGATTAGCCCACTGTCAGTTTTTTAAATATCAAAGAGACCGCCTATTAAAATATCAGATAGGTGGTCTCTTTGTTGCTGCTATTGCCACCACGTCATTAGAGACCTGTTATCTATATAACATGTCTCTTTTTGTCAGCCATTGAATTAGAATAATTTTTTGTGCTGCTTTCATTATTTCATTAAAGAGACCTGTTATATTTAATAACCGGTCTCTTAAGTTATCTAACTTTTTTTTTTTAATAATTCTTGTTTTTAAGTAAAAAATCATAAAGTTAGTTTAATGTAATAGTTTTATAGTATGTATTTTTATATCCTATTTTTGGATTGAAATCATTTTGGTGAAATATATATTTTTTTTTATATAATTTTTGGATTGAAACAAGTGATCAATTATTGATCGTGACTCATAAGTTCGAAAATCCTGGATCCGCCACTGTCTAAGACTACCTAAATACAATACTTCTTTCAAAATTAATTAATGAGTTTATAATAACACTTTTTTGAATTAAAAATTTTGACAACTATTTTAATCAAAAAATTATATTTAATCTATGCAACACACGGAAAGAAAGTTGTTAAAAAAAACAAAAAGAGTATATGTAAGTTAATAAAATCAAAAGTACCTTTAATAATCTCTAACGTTAGAGGTGGAATGATTTTTCCTGAATACGAAGCACCAGTGATGTAAATAGGATTTCTTGCAAATTCAGGATGCTCGATAAGCCACTGTAAGAACCATGCTTTCGATTAACAAAACACAAGCATTGGATGTGTTTGTTTCTTCGCGAATCAATCCACCCAAAAATTATACTACCTCTGATTTTTTTTTTAGTTGTAACTTTGGGGTATTATTTAAGAGATATAAAACATTCTATAGTTGCAACTAAAAAAAAATCGGAGATCGTACATATATGTACAATAATAACTTGTTTAAAATTGTCAAAAACTTATGGATTATATAAAATATCCAAAAACTTGTATCCAAATTTCAAAATAAAAGTCAAGATAAAAATGTACTCCCTCCGTTACGAATTACTCGCAACAATTACTAAAACTGGCAGTTACATATTACTCGCAACAAACTTTTTTTTCCTTTTATAGCAATTTTTTTATGTGTGATTTTACAAAATTACCCTTACTTTATTTTAAACACCCTAATTAAACTACTTATTTTAACTTATTAACTTAAACCCTAACATTGATTAACTTAATTATTTCCACCAAAATCATTCCCCTTCCATCTAAATTCATTCTCACCACCACCAATCTCCATTCTATGTTCATCAACCCAGAAATTTCTCTCTTTGTTCATCTCCCCTCGATTCTACCACAACAATCTATGGAGACATCACCGTCGCCGGAAGTTTGCCGCTGTCCCTTTTGTTGTTGCCGCCTCCGTTTTCTCTCTCTTCCTCTTCTTGTTGTTTTGTCATTGCCAATGAAGCACATTTTTGAAGATTTTATGGTCAAATTTATTCATGAAAACTCTAGATCTAGAGTTTTCATGGTTAAATTTGACCAATTAAAGCTTTAATTAATGATAGAAAGTTGTGCGTTTTAGATTTTGGGGTTCTGGGTTTGGGTTCAAGTTCAGGGTTGTGGATTTTGGGGTTGTGGGTTCGTGGGTTGTGAGTTTCGGGGTTGTGGGTGGTGGGTTTTGAGGTTGTGGGTGGTGGGTTTCGGGTTGTGGGTGCTGGTTCTGGTTCGTGGGTTTCGGGGTTGTGGGTGGTGGATTTCGGGGTTGTGGTTCTGGATTTGTGGGTCGTGGGTTTTGGGGTTGTTTGTGGTGGTGGATTGTACTGGGTTTGGTGGTGCTGGGTGGTTAGTGGGTTTGCGTTGGTAGGTGGTGGTGTTGTGTGATTTTGTGGTGCTAGGTGATGGTGTTGGTGGTTTCGTGGTGTTAGGTGATGGTGTTGGGTGGTTTCGTGGTGTTAGGTGATGGTGTTGGGTAGTTTCGTGGTACTAGGTGGTGGACTGGTGGTGCTAGGTGGTGGTGGTTAGGTGGTGGTGGTTCGGTGGTGGTGGTTCGTGAATTCAAGTGGCTAAATTGTGATTTTTTATTTAAATTTTTTTTTGGTTGGATTAACACTTAAATGTATGCCCTTATTTTTCATTAATCATGCTTTCAATATTTTGTCTAAGAGTCTTCAATTCCCTACTTTGTTGCGAGTAATTCGTAACGGAGGAAGTATATAAAATGTCGAATATTTAATGTTCTTCTTACTATAAACCAAGACAACTCACGTACACAATACTTGCTCACTAGACAAAAGGTTAGATTAGACTAATGATAATACAGAGTACTCAACTTTGTTTTAAATTAATTGGAAATGATAAATAGATTTTACTAGTAAATAAAAAAATAAAAAAAATTCTTGGAACACTGAAAATAATCATTAGTATATATGGAAGAAAAACGTTAAAACGAAATTGAAAATTATTTGGAAAAATGAAAAAAGGACAGAGAAAATAAAGTTCAGGAATAGTCAAACCAGAGAAATACTCCGTAATACATCAAATCTAACCTCTTAGACCATGCTTGGATTGAGGGTAATGATTTAAAGAGTAATAAGATAAAGTTAAACCAGGGAAAAATATCAGTAATTATAAGTAATGTTATAGGATATAAAATGTTTACAAATGAAATAACAAAATGTTTGTGACGTGAGGAAAAGAGCTAGAGAAATGAACAGTAATTAATCTCATAATGAAGATAATAGATTTACATCCCCATAACTATGTATTACCCCAGAATGAGAGCAATAGTTCATTTTTCTTCACCTTTCTCCATAGTGCCACACCATCACGTACTATCTCATCCTTCCTTAAATTCATTTCAATTATTTTTTTTTATTTTATTTTTTATTTTTTTTATTTTTTGTAATTTGGCTTTTATTACCTTTATAATACATTACTTAATCTCAATCCAAGTATGCCCTAGCCTTAGTACAAGCACTCCAATTCGCTAATAATTAAAATGAGCTAACCTTTTTCAAAAACTCGTATGCTTGTTTTACAATGTTAGGCCCTGTTTAGTTCACCTGATTTTAGCTGATCTGGTCTGGTCTGATCTTATCTCATCTTATCTTATCTTATCTTATACGATCTGATCTGAACTTATATTTTCTGATCTGATCTGAACTTATTTTTTCTGATCTGATCTGAACTGAACTTATTTTTTCTGATCTGATCTGATCTGAACTTATCTTTTCTGATCTGATCTAAACTTATTTTTTCTGATCTGAACTTTTTTTTTTGAGGGAATCTGAACTTATTTTAATTATTTCAATATTCTACTTTTATTTTAATCAATATTAATGTTTTTTTAAAACATATTAATGTTTTATTATTATTATTATTATTATTATTATTATTATTATTATTATTATTATTATTATTACTTCCTCCGTTCTATTAATATTGCAACAATGGACTTTTTGCACTATTCATCACTCTTGTTTGACCATATAATATGAGTTATAAGTTAAGCAAAATATAGTCAAATGGGATCTTGTTGGATTTGTCTCATTTAATACTTTCACAATATCAACTTTTTATAACTTTTACTCTTACACAATTATAGATATTTAGCATATAAAATGTGTTTTGGGATGCGTAATTTCCTCCTTGTTGCAATATTAACAAAACGGAGGAAGTATTATTGTTAGGAAAATTATTATTATTATTATAAAATATTTTAGATCCCTTACAAATATTTTAAAAGAAACCTAAAAGTATTAATATTATCAGATAGTACAAGGTAATATACTTGTAATATTTGATAATTTTATTATTTACAATATCCAACATCATAAATGAATTTGTATATAAGAAATTGTTAAAATGGGATCCTAAGAAACCTAAATTGCATATTAAATTTGTCATAGCTTTATAGGGAATTTTACAAATTTTTTGGTAATGTAAATGGTTGACTAAATTGAATTGAAAATTATCATTTCATATTTCAATATTCCGAACAACTATGGGTAACACCTCTATTTTCCTATTTAAAACAACATCTTAGTGTCATAATTTTCACACTCTAAATCAATCTCCTAAAATATTTTTCTATTCATTTGTTCAATAGGTTGTTTGTCTTTTATCTCCATCATAGGTAAATACTTCAACACTCTATGTCATTAATTTTATCATTTGTCTATTGTTTTTTTATAATGTAGGAAAATATACATTTATTTGATTTCATGAATTTTACATTTGACCTAATGCAAGTAATATCAATGAAAATGTAAAGCACAATTAATATTTTATCTTCAGTTCAATTCATTTATTTCAAAAGAATCCTTTTGATTATAATCCTGGTGCCAATTCAACATTAATGTCTATAATTTATGCATGAAATATTGATTCCAAAGTGCTCTTTATCATAGTGTAATGGCTGGTAGGGTAGCATGGTCTGAAGAATGTACGGAGATATTGTTGGACATATGCTTGGAGATGAAAGAATTTGGATATTTAAAGTTTAATTGGGATAGAATAGTGAGTACTTTGATCGTTAAATGTGGAAAGCAATTCAATATCAAACTAGTAACAAATCATTGGAATGATTTGAGATGTTTTGAACAATTCAAATCTCAATGGAAAATGCTCACAATGATGCCAAATATAGACACTAAACATCAATTGGCGATTATGGTTGATGCATTCACACTTCACAATTTTATTCGATTACATGAGTTGGATATACCCATTGATAGTGGTATAGAAATCGAACCAAGAGCAGATTATGATTTGTTTAACGAGAATTGTAAGGCTGTAATGAACGAAGTACAACTTAATATAGCGAAGGAAATTTGGAACTTCTTATGATGAAAATTATATTTGTAAACGTTTATAATTTGGAGCTTATAATGAAAATTTAATTATTATCGTTTATTGTTTGAACAATAACAACAACAACAACAACAACAATAATAATAATAATAATAATTATAGTAATAATAATAATTATAATAATAATAATAATAATAGTAATAATAATAATAATAATAATAATAATAATAAAAAATAATAAATAATAATAATAATAATAATAATAATAATAATAATAATAATAATAATAATAATAATAATAATAATATGTATCTAATTTGAACTTAACTGATCTGATCTGAACTTATTTTTTCTGATCTGATCTGAACTTATTTTTTCTGATATGATCTGATCTAAACTTATTTTTTCTGATCTGACCTGATCTGAACTTATTTTTCCTGATCTGATCTGAACTTATTTTTTCTGATCCGATCTGATCTGAACTTATTTTTTCTGAAATAAGTAAAAATAAGGTGAACTAAACAAGGCCTTAGTATCACTAGGAATGTATGATTTATTAGTTGTATAAGAGAATCCAGCGCCAACCGGTGAATCTGGAAATAATATATTTGCAACCTAAATAACATTCATTGCATTATTGTTAATTATTTACACAATATAATAAACAGTAAAAAATTTCATATACTAGTATATATGATGCCTTACTTCACAATAAATATTTACTTCATAAATGTACGTTGCACACTTTATAATTTCATGGTGGTTTGTTGGTTAGGGTGGTAAGGGCTACGATGAAATTATGGAATGGTGTTAGGGACGGTGACGATGGTAGGGTATTGTGGTGGTAGTGAGTGTGGTGGGCTAGTGGGTGTATGTATAGTGTGATGAGTTGAAGTGGTGGATAATATACCTAAAAATCTACAATATGAATCTTCTATATTTATTTTTTAACTTGTAATTTTTGTATTTTTTTATAAATAAAGATGCCATAATTATTTAAATATCTTCTTTTCGCTATCAATTAGTTAGATTACTTAGCTCCTCCTCAAAAATTAGTCACAATAAATTAAGAATTAATTTACTTTCTTTATTCTCAACTATATTTTCAATAAAATTATAAAATGTAATCTACTACTAGAATCTTGTATCATATTTACTTTCACGTGAAATAATAATTGCTAACATATCATCAACTTATCACATAAAACTTATACATTTTATTTTTATAACATATGTACTCATAAATATTCGGATAATCCAAGATGGAGGGAGCTTTTCTTAGAGCAATATAGATATATAAACTATATGTATGTAAAAACCGTGGTAACAAATAGATAGATAATTTAATTACCTTAGTCCAAGAATAAGGATTTGATTCAAGTCTCGGTAGACCATCCTCCCATTGTGATGATATGTTGAAGGATAGAGGACCTTTGTTGTCATCGTCACAACATTACTTTATTAGAAATTAAAAAAGCTTGATTTTTTTTTTGAAAGAAGTCCTAATTAAAGGACGCTAAATTTCATTAATATAAGGCATACGACATCTACAATTGACAATGAGCGATAATGAAAACGAATTTAACAAAATCAAACAAGAATTAATCGGGGAAGGGCTAAGAATCCAAATACATAAATATAACAATTCGGCATATTCTCGATTCGTTGTCTCATACAACTTTTTGAGTGGATCCGTCGTCGCTTCACAATTTATATGAGAAAGTAAATTCTTGTGCTGATTCCGTAAACCGAATCCGAGCCATAATCAATGGTAGCCCCGCACAACCGGAGACCAAATTAAGCGCAAATAAAACCTTGTCTTTCGAAGGAGTCCGAAAAACCTTGTCTTTCGAAGGAGATCGAAAAAACCTTGTCTTTCGAAGGAGATAAACCCTTTCTTTCAATTCGAGGGAGACATTATTGTAACCTAAACAAAAAGCTTAAAAGAAAAATAAAGATTGGGGCTTTCCACCGGTGAAATCCGATGGAAGCCCCTTTAAAATTGACAATGGAGACTAGGTTTAGGAGAGAGAAGAAAGAAAAGGAGACTAGGGGTTTTTTTTTTCGTTTGGTTTGTGTTACTTCTGTTTCTTTGATAAAAAAAAGCTTGAATTTTAATTACAGTTTTCCTCTAAAAAAAAAAAAAAAAAAATAAAAAAAATTGAGGATGGGCCTCAAAATTTTTTTTTTTTAAATTTTGTATATTTTTTTTTGGTAAAAAAGGGTCGTGAATATGTGCTAACATATTTCAATTTTTATGGCTCCGTGCCTCCAATTGGTAGGAGATCGATACTAAATAAAGGTAATAAATCTGCTTATAATGAATTTTAATGTAATAAAACAAGAAATTATCATATACTTCATATAATTACTGTTCCATATTTATTCTATAGAACCCTTCAAGACCTCTAGTGATGGAGAAGATAATGCAATTTTTTACATTGTAATAACTTGCATGGCATGCATAAACTACAAGTCATAAATTTTTGTACATGCTATTATAACTGAATTCATTCTATTACTACAGAGTACAATTTATTGTCACTTGTCAAATGGACAATTAAAGTTAATTAAGATGATGAGATGATATTGAGACAAATAAAGTGGATTTAGCAAGAAGTGAATTTCTTGGCATCAAAAAAAAAAAAAATAAAAAAAAATGAAGAAGTGAATTTACCAATACGTCCAAAAACAAGATCCGTAAAGGAAGAGCAGCCGGGTCCTCCAGCAATCCAAACCAAAAGTGGATCTGTTTTTGGGTTATTCTCGGATTTTATAAAGTAGTAAAATAGCTGCATTTGCTCCTCCCAAACTCCAATGTATCTACAATTATATTGTTGAAATTAAATCATTCATGTTACGCAACAAATTAATAAATTCGTAATTTAAATAACATAATATACTATATTAATATTTGGGCCCAATGTTTAATTAGCCAAATAATTAGACCAACATATAATGACGGGGTTAGTTTCAATTGTCAAACAAATCATTAATTTAGAAAATTTTAGCTTAATGATAGGGAGTAAGGGTCTGTTCTCTTA